GCCCGGCTAATTTTTTGATTTATTGTAGAGATGAGGTCTCGCCAAGTTGCCCAGGCGGGTCTCGAACCCGCGGGCTCAGGCAATCCACTCACCTCTGCCTCCCAAGGCGCGGGATTACAGGCTGAGCCACCGAGCCCGGCTTCATTTTTCTAATAGAGTAAATTCTGAGTTTGGTCCCAGGCCAATGAAAAGCGTGAAAGGAGTTTGCTATGACTACTAAGTAGGTGGATATACAAGGGGGGGACACCCCAAATAACAGAATTTATTTATGAAAAATTGTGTATTCTTGCATGCTTAAACTTCTGTATCCTTCAAAGTACTCCCCGCTGGATGCAATATACCTATCAAGACACTTTTTCCACTGCTCAAAACAGTTTTTGGATGCCTTTTAGTGCTTTGGTCGTGTTTTTCTGCTTCACCTCTTCCACATCAGCAAAATCTTTCCCTTTGAGGACTTTTTCATCCAGGGAACCAAAAAATAGTCACTGGGGTGAGATCAGGTGAATAGGGAGGGCGGGATCAGGAGTCACGCCATTTTTGGTCAAAAACTGTCAAACACTCAGCATGGTGTGGGCAGGTACACTGTCATGATAGAAGAAACAGTCACCTGTTCACCACAACTCAGGATATTTTCCCCACAAATCATGACACAGCCTTCTCAAAACTTCTAGATAAAAACTTTGGTTGACCGTTTGATCTGGAGGAACAAATCCTAAGTATATTACAAGGGGCCAACCCTCCAGAAGATAATTCCAGTATTTTTGGGGTCTCCCCCATATATATATATATATATATATTATACACACACACACATACACACCAGGGGGTACCAAAAAATGTACACACAATTTAAGAGGTGTTATCCATGCATTACTTTTAGTTTGCCGTAATCAGAAGTATCTGACCCACTTTGAGTACCTCTTGTAATTGCAGAAGTCAAACATGACTTGTATTCATTTTTTGTTATCAGTATATATTGAGTATTACAATTTCAATGCAGTTTTTTTCCTTTCTTAAGTGTGTATATGTTTTTGACACTGTCTGTATACCTGTATATATGCTCATGGATACATATCTATACACCTATATCTACATGGCTAATGTGAATTACATGTTAGCATGTGAAATTTGCCAATGTAAGCCCCACATGTCAATTCAGGTTGCTCGTTCATGAATGCCTGTGCTTTGGCTTTTTGTCTTTTGTTTCCTTATAGCCATGGGTGAGACTGGGACTGGCAGTGACTGAGCAAATTCCGTGACAGCTGTCCTTTCTAGCTGGAGTATGCAACAAAGTCAAAGAGGAGCCCGTCCCACAAGGAGCCCGTCAGCAGCACAGGCATGAAGTCCTTAACCACTGGAATTTCTAAGTCAACTGGCTGGGAACCTCCCCTTCATTAGGTCACAAAAACAAGGAGAAAACTGATTTCATTTCCAGTTGTCAAGTATACATAGTAAAAGCAGTAATGGCTAACATTTAATGAATACTTTCTCCTATTAAATTATACATACTCGTAGACAGTAGTCTCCATGAGGGCAGGGTCTAGATCTGGTTGTTCTTCTTGCTGTTTTTTAATAGACATGAGGTCTCACCTATGTTGTCCAAGGTGCACTCCAATTCCTGGTCTTAAGCCTCAGCCTCCTGAGTAGCTGGGGTTACAGGAACATGCCACCATGCCCATCTGTTTTGCTCTGAGTAGCATGCCTTGTATATGGTAGGTTTCAATAAATATTTGCTGAATGAACAAACACTCTCATTTACTTGTCATAACAACCCTATGAAGTTTGAAACAATATTGCTATCACAATTTTACATATGAGAAAACTGAAGCTCAGCAATAATTAAAATGTGTCCAAGGTCACTCAGGTGTCGAGTGTCAGAGCTTATATTTGAACCCATATATACTTGACAGAAGAGTCTACAGTTCAACACAATCATCATTTCACTAGTACGGACCAGACCTTAGGAAGTTTCCAATATGGAGACCATCCATGAACAAAGGGCTTAAAATGATGTATTGCACGTCAGAACGGATACCCCTCTATTCCAGTCATGATTTTTCAGATTTCTTCAGTATCCTACAACAACTAAATTTTTTAAAAAATGACTTACCTACAAATCCTTCTTCACCGACCAGTTTCAGGGCAATTTTATCAGCCAGTACTGAAGAGTTACCATGAGCGATGTTTGCGAAAGGACCAGCGTGCACAAACACAGGCGTCCCCTAGGGAAGTAGAGAAAATCAAAATCCCAGAATACAAAAGGAAGCAAGGAGACCAAGGTCAACGGGAACAGACAAGGTGGGAAAGACTGCAGGGCACTTAAAGACTCGTCCAGCACCTGCTGGTATTCATATTGCCTATCCAGTGCATAATATCTTTCAAAGAGAATTAGATCAAAGGACTCAGTCAAAGGACCACATTCTCTCTCTGTTCTAGAGTGGTGTTGTTCTACATTTGATGGTGAACCAGGGAGAGAAAACTTGAAGCATAGTCATGTCCTTCTACAATCTTGATAATCCATTGTGTTTCAGTGACCGTGACATAAACTATTTCCCTGATTTTATGTTGCTCTGCATTACAATTGGGAAAAGAATAGAATTAGACCCTGATGGTTTAAGAGGTGTATTTACTTTTTTCAATTAAGAAATTAGACAATTCGGCAATCATTCATAGTGACCTATCACAGAAACAAAGAACCGAATACCACATGGTCTCACTCCTAAGTGGGTCCGGATCATTTATCACAATAGCACAAGGGAGGGATCAGCAGTCGTGGGACACTGCCAGGTACCCTTAACATCACTAAAGGTACCCGATCCTAAACCAGGGGAAGTGAGACCAATTGGAGGCCCAGACTTCACCTGCACATATATTACTTATGTACCTAACCCTGATTTGTACCCCCACACCTTTATAATAAAATAGAGTTAAAAAAAAACCTGTCGGCTGACTGCAGTGGCTTACACCTATAATCCCAGCACTTCGGGAAGCCAAGGTGAGAGGACTGCTTGAGCCCATGGGTTCGAGACTAGCTTGGGGATCTTGGTGAGATCTCATCTCTACAAAGTCAAGAAAAATTAGCTGGGCATGATGGCACAAGCCTGTAGTTCCAGCTACTTGGAAGGCTGAGGTGGAAGGATTGTCTATGCCCAGCAGGTCGAGACTGCAGTGGTGGTGAGCATGCCACTGCACTTCAGCCTGGGCGACAGAGTGAGACTCTGACTCAAAAAAAAAAAAAAATTGTCAACTCAAGAAAAATCAAGAGTAAGCATACAAATCAATACAATTAATGAACTGTAGGAGTCTACGGTGAGCCAACTACATAATGATTAAGCTAATGGACTGTTTTTATTTTAATGGAAGCATTATTTTGGTTTTTAAAAGTTTCATTTAAGTCTCTCTCACTGTCTTACATGTTAGAAATCTGGTAACTAAAATAAAAGCAAAGAAAAGTTTCACTCAGTAAAGTATTAGTAATCCTTATTAGTAAAAAGGACAAAAGAAACCAATTTAAGAGAACTGTCAAAAACTTTAGATGTTAGTTCTTTAAATAAAATAGGTCAATATATTTCATTTTTAATGCCATCTCCACATTTTTCCCCTTTCCCTTGCATAACAATAGACCCTAGCACCACCTAGCGGGTGCAGTGGTTCATACCTATAATCCCAGGGAGGCACAGGCAAGAGGATTACCTGAGCCCAGAGGTTCAAGACCAGCCTGGGCAACTTGGTGAGACCTTGGCTCTACAATAAATCAAAAAAATTAACTGGACACGGTGGCACGCGCCTGTGGTTCCAGTTACTTGGAAGACTGAGGCAGAAGGATTGCCTGAGCCCAGCTGTGGCGATGGCTGCGGTGGCTGTGATTGTACCAACGCACGCCAGCCTGGGTGACAAAGTGAGACTCCAAATTAAAAAAAAAAAAAAAAAGAATTCGACAACATGCATTAAAACACTCCATTTTTATTCAGAGCTCAGCCAGGGCCACTGGGTTCTGTGCATATAAAGCCTTGACTCCACCTGTGCAAATACAGGCTGGCCTTTCAGCCACATGGGGGAAGGACGAGCCATGCAGGGGGCTGGGAGTCAAATTCCCAGGAACCACGACTAGCCGTTGGCTGGCCATGTTTCAAAGATGAGACAGCTGAACAAAAGCAGGAAGAAAGGAAGTGAAAGAAGAATCGTCTCTGAGAAAGAAAAAGAGTTTAGCAAAGTCACTATGCGCGCTCTCTATTTACTCTAATTCCCAAAGTCCTTAGGAGGGAGAATATCGGACCTGACACAGATTTATATGGAAATAAACACACAAATGTTTGCGGAAAGAAACCTAGGACTACAAAACCAGATCTACACGTTTATGGATATGTATACACATATGTTTAATGTTTATATCTTGATTTTTCTAGTGATAAATTCTTCCTTGTTTTTGTTTTTAAGTCAGGGTCTCAATCTGTTGCCCAGGCTGGAGTGCAGTGGCATCAAGCCTCACTGCAGCCTCAACCTCCTGGGCTCAAGCGATCCTTCTGCCTCAGCCTCCTGAGGAGCTGGGACTACAGGCACGTCCCGCCTCACCCAGCTAATTTTTTTATAGAGATGAGGTCTTGCTTTATTGCCCATGCTGGTCTTGAACTCCCGGCTTAAGTGATGCTTCTGCCTCAGCCTCCCAAAGTGCCAATATTAAAGGCATGAGCCACTGAACCCAGCCATGTAAATTCTCATTTCTGTTATCTAGATAAACCATTAAGGACTTTGGAGAATATGTACATTTTTACAAAGAACTTAAAGTCTCCATTACTTCCTAACCTTGCCAGTCCTAGAATGGTGCTGCCCACATGTGGTAAGCTGGTTGGTAAAAGTCCAAGGATTCAAGGTCACAGCCTCTACACCTGGATGGCCAGCTGGCTTCCCTCCTCTCCAGACTGCAACTCTCTGTCTGACGGACAAATGATACTAGTCTCCAGAGAAAACAGGTGACAGGGTGTGGCTGAATCTGCACAAACACATCACTATGCCTGGGATAACCACTCCAAGTTGCTAATAGATCTTCAGCAATATTTTAATTAAAAAAAGAAAAGAAGACCGGTGCAGTGGCCCATGTCTGTAATCCCAGTATTTTGGGAGGCTAGAGGATTGCCTGAGACCAGAGGTTCGAGACCAGCCTGGGCAACTTGGTGAGACCTCGTCTTAACAATAAAACAAAAAATTAGCCAGGTGTGGTGGTATGCACCTGTGGTTCCAGCTACTTGGAAGGCTGAGGTAGAAGGATTGCCTGAGCTCAGCTGGTAGAGGTTGCGGGTGGCTATGAGCATGCCACTGCACTCCAGTCTGGGGGACAGAGTGAGACTCTGATTCAAAAAAGAACTTTTAGCCTTTGCAGAATCTTTCTTATTTTTTTTTAGGCTGTATTCTAATCTATTAGCAAAGGCATTTTTAAACCTAAGTTTTTAATTGACAAATAATAACTGTATATATTTATAAAGTATAATGTTATATTCTAATATACATACACATTGTGGAATAATTATATCAAGACAATTAACATATTCACCACCTCACAGATTTATCACTTTTTTTTTTTGAGTTGGAGTCTTACTCTGTCATCCAGACTGGAGTGCAGTGGCACACTCCCGGCCACTGCAGCCTGGACCTGCTGGGCTTCAGCGATCCTTCCGCCTCAGCCTTCTGATTAGTCGAACTACAGGCACGCGCTACCACGCCCTGCTAATGTTTTGATTTATTGTAGAGACAAGGTCTGGTCAAGTTGCCCAGGCTGGTCTCGAACCCACGGGCTCAGGCAATCCACTTGCCTCAGTCTCCCAAAGTGCTGGGATTACAGGCTGAGCCACCGAGCCCGGCCTATCACTTTCTTTTATAGTGAGAACATTTAAAATCTATTCTCTTAACATTTTTGAAATATACAATATATCACTATTAATTATGGTCACCTTGTTGTGTAGCAGATCTGTAAAACTTACTCTTCCTGTCTAACTGGCATTCTGTGCCCTTTCTCCATCCCCCCCACCCCATCCACACTCCCTCCCCCAGTCTCTGGTAACCACCATTCCACTCTCTACTTTGCAAAGGCACTTTACAGTTTTCTATAAATGTAGTTTTAGCTAGAAATCACAGAACCAGACAATGTGGGAACAAGAAGAGGCCAACTTCTTCACATGAGAAACTTAAGGCCCAGAGAAGTTACGGTAATTCCTCAAGGCCACACAGCTGGCGAATAACAAAATCAAGATCAGAGCCCTGGTTTTCAAACTCTCTATTTGAGCTTGGGAGAAAAAGTATTAGAACATCATTGTCAGACATTTAAACACAGGGACACACTCAGTGATGGATATAGCTATAAGATACAATACATCGAATTAAATATGGTGCCTAAAAAAATCCAGTCATATGACTAACTCAAAGGCATAAAAATATTTACCTTAAGTTTAGTGTTTTGTTTATATGCAGAAAACATATAAAGCAATACAGAAACTATTTTGGCTTGTCATGGTGAAAGAGCTGTGAAGATTTTCCACAACAGACTTTTCAAATATTTCATAAGATTACTATTTCAATTACTGCTTTGCTTTTTGGAGTTCTAAGCATTTAAAATATGGCTAGTGAACATTAAAAAAAAATAACAACTACATGTATAAATAGAAATGGAACTAAAATGACTGAAGAACTGAATTTCAAATTGCATTTAAATTCAATTAGTTTAGATTGATATAACCCATGTGGCCAGTAGCAGCCATGCTATGCTGGACGGCACACTCTAGTCCATGGTGTATACCAACACCACACAGGCTCACCTGTGGGAAGGTCAAGGCTTTTCTTTCTTGCTTGTCTCCCACAGGGTTCTCAACCAAGCTCTACGTGAGAAGCACCAGAAGGACCTGGTGTTACCCCAGATAGTCTTTTCACCAGGTCTAGGATAGAGTCTGGCATAAATCAATATTCTTACAATTCCCTGGGAGCTTATTAAGTGCAGCCAGGATTGAAACTCCTGGTCTTCTGGCAACTTGCAGTGACATAACCCTTGATAACCTCCCACAATCAGTGTGTTCCAATGAGAGCACTAAAGCACAGTCTGCAAACTATCAATGGTTTCCAGATTATTCGCTGATGTTGAGTCCTAGTCCCTGAGCAGTAAGTGACTCCTTAGTGATCAAATAGGGTCAAAGTAGCTGAGGTCATACATGCAAATATTTTAACTGAATGTCATGCTTTTTTTTTTTTTTTTTTTTGAATTGGAGTCTCACTCTGTTGCCCAGACTGGAGTGCAGTGGCCGCTCCCGGCCACCGCAGCCTCAACCTACTGGGCTCCGGCGATCCTTCCACCTCAGCCTTCCAAGTAGCCGGAATTACAGGCATGCACTACCACGCCCGGCTGATTTTTTTTTTAATTTATTGTAGAGATGAGGTCTCACCGCCCAGGCGGGTCTCGAACCCGCGGGCTCAGGCAATCCACTCACCTCAGGCTCCCAAAGGCGCAGGATTACAGGCTGAGCCACCGAGCCCGGCTTAAAAGACATCTTATTATCTTTTCAAGAAATCTTAACAGCCCACCTTAAATGAAAAACATACGTAAATATGAGGACAATAGCTGCTTGGGGGCAACCCAATCTACTCATTCATTAATTAAATGGAGAGTAGAATTTCTCTTTTTTTGAGTCAGAGTCGCCCTCTGTCGCCCAGGCTGGGGTGCAGTGGCATGCTCATGGCCACCGCAGACTCAAACTGCTGAGTTCAGGCGATCCTTATGCCTCAGCCTTACAGGTAGCTGGAACAAAAGGCACGTGACACTATGCCCGGCTAATTGTTTTTTTTTTTATTTAATGTAGGGATGAGGTCTTGCCATGTTGCCCAGGCTGGTCTCGAATCCCTGGGCTCAGGCAATCTTCTCGCCTCTACCTCCCAAAGTGCTGGGATGACAGGTATGAGCCACCATGCCTGGCAGAAAGCAGAATTTCAGAGTGGAAAATATCTTAGAGGTGCAGGCAATTTTTAGTACAAAAAGAATTATCTAAAACAGTAGAAACAGTATCATATCTCGGCATATGTTCTCTCTCATTCACTTATTTAATAAATACGTCTTTTGAGGAGTAATGTAATAAAAATAATAAGCACTCATTTAATTTATTCAAGTGTTTACTGAGCACCTAGTAGGTATCGGGCACTTTCTGGGAGCTGGGGAGATGGTGGTGAACAAGAAGGACAAGGCCTGCTCTTATCTGGGTGGGAGGCGAAATAAAGGAAACAAGAAAACGGGAGACACTCAGACAGCACTCTGTGCCACCTAGTGTCAGCACAGAGGGCTGGGGTTGCCGCGGATGGAGTGGCCTTTCTGAACTGACAAGACATGGGATCAGAGACAGGCAGGAGCCAGCCCTGAGGGATCAGCCCCGAGGGATCAGGAAGTGTGTCCCAGGTGGGAGGGGGGGGGTGTCTGCCATGCAAAGGGCCTCAGGAGGAGGTGAGAGACGAGGAGGAGGGATGGGAGGGGGAGAGGGGTGGAGCTAGATCCTGAGAGCTTTCCAGACCAGGGCCGAGGCCTGCAGAACCCATGGGAGAACTCTAGGCAGGAGGCCAACAGGACCTGAGTAGGTTTCCCAGCTCAATGGCTGCTCAGGAGAGAAAGGATCTTGGAAGAAAGGAGAATCAGAGTGACTGGTTGGGAGGAGGCTGCCGAGGGCAGGAAGGAGGAGATGGGCCGAAGTGGGAAGGTGGCCTGGAGATACACAGTCAGAGAGAGGCATGAGATCAAGGAGCACTCTGCAGGGATGCAGTGGGGAGGAGGGGAGGGGAGAGAGGGCTCCAGCCTGAGCTCTGGGTTTTGGCCAGGTTTGAGGGAAGAGCACGTTGGGAGGAAGCAGGAGTCGGGGCCTGTTTTATATATAAGTTTGAAATGCCTTTTTACATCCACGCACTCCTGGTAGTTTAACTCCAACTACAAGTCTGAAATCCCAGGGCAAAGAGATATATAGATCAAGAGTCTGGCACTCATTCCACAGCTGATACAGGGGGTAGAGAGGCGCCAGACAGGTGAAGGGTCAAGTCCCCCTGACATCCAGAGGTGAGCAGAGGAGAAGAGGGTCACAGAGAAGGTCCAGGACAGCGAGGGGTCCCAGAAACCAGAAGAACCAAGTGACATCAGCTTTGTCAAACCCTGCTAAGAATCAAGTAAGACAAAGAAACAAAGACTCAGTGGCATGGAGGGACAGTGGCACGGAGGGACACTGAGCTTCAACAAGAGCAGTCAGGAGAGGCAGAACCTCAGGAGAGTTCAAGTGGAGACCCCAATTACACAGGGAAGGGGAACAGGGGCAGCAGTTGGGTGGGGACGTAGGGTGGCAGAGGGTTCTGAAGAGGCTTTATTTGGTTTCAAGACGGTCCACTTCAGAGCAGTGTGCACGGTGACAGCAGGCCCAGGGGAGAGGATGGACCTCCAGTTGCAGGAAGGTGAGGCCTCAGCACCTGCTGCATCTCTCTCCCCTCACCCTGCCAGCACCAGGCTCAAAGGTGCTTGGCCCTCCCCTCCCCAGCTCGGGGGACACCTTCAGGCTGCACCCTCACTGGGCACCTTTGACCTCTGTCTAGCCTCACTATTGTCACTGGCTCATAACCGGATCCTCAATCTCTCGGCCTGAGCTCTTCGGATTGTGAAGCCCATTCCTGCCAAGAGCCTCAGCACTGAAGGTCACTGTCAGCCCTGAACAATTCTCCTCAGGACACATGCTCAGCTAGGCTCACTCCCATGGTTCACTCAGCTCTATCCAGCCATGGCTCTAACAGGCAGGCAGGCCCACGGACACACACCCCACGTCACCCTGTCCTCTCATTCCTGCTGGTCTTTCTTTGCCAGTCCTTGCCACCAATTCAGTCTCCCGAGTAGTTGGGATTACATGTGTGCACCACCATGCCTGGCTGATTTTTCTACTTTTTGTAGGGACAAGGTCTCACTATGGTGCCCAGGCTGGTCTTGAACTCCTGGTCTGAAGCGATCCTGCTGCCTTGGCCTCCCAAAGTGCAGGGATTACAGGTCTGAGCCACTGCACATGGCCCATATCAAAGAATCTATGAATACACTTGTAAGTATTCTTGGCTGACCAAGAAGTTATTCTGATGCTACCTGCCTACTTCCTATTGGCTGGAAATGCTTTCATTCTGTGGTGACGCACAATCCAATTAATGCAAACTCTATAAACAGTTACTGTAAAAAGAAAATCACTTACTTCTAAGGTCTGCATCAGATTTGGTTTTATTGCATCTTTCATCAAAACTGTCAAAGCACCTGCCACTCCCTGCAAGAAAGAGAAAAAAACGTTTAGGTTCTTAACAAAAGATAAGGATAGTTCATCGCCTAGTGAGAGTTCATCTTTGCCTGTCTACTCCAGCTGGCTTCCTGAGTGGGCATCTCCAGAGGCCCTTGTGGACCACAGGTGACAGTGCTGTTGCCTCTGCCCACCTCCCTGCACCACAGCCAAGAATGCAAGTCTCATGCCAAGGTCTAACGGGTGATGGAGAGGCAGCAGCTTCTATTTTTCAAAATTTTCCTCGACAGAGTTCACGAGGCTTGCCAAAAAACAGATCTTTCAATCCACGTCAAAGAGCTTTCTGGCAATTTCCGCACATTATATTTTCATTACCAGAGGCCTTACTCTTGCCCAAAGAAAGAAAAAGAGCTGAAACAAGATTATTTACAGAGCAGAAATGAAGAACAGCAAACAGAAATGTCTACGGTCACCCATTCTGGCTTCTTATCCTCCCTAAACCTTTCATTCCACAGATACAGAGGGTACTCAGAAAACCTCTGCACTTGGATGCTTTCCTCTTTCCATGAAAGGTGTCATGGTATCTCCCTCCCTAGAATGAAGCGGCGCCACTTAGACATGAAATAAGGCCGCCTCTTTCCAGTCCCCAGAGGCATGGGTTGGGTTCCCTTTAAGTCCTCTTTCTCCACTCCTGGAGAAATAAAAGAGAATAAAGACAGAGAACGGGAATGATGCCTGAGAGTTAGAGGGACGAGTGTGACTTTTAAGGTGATGACACAATTCACTTTGTTTTCTTTCTTGTATTTAAAAAAAAAATTCTTCTTGCTTTGCTAAAGATGCTGGGTGGTGTCTTGGTGTTCTCAACAAATTAGTTATTGCAAAGCTATAATGTGAACAAACATCTGTGAATGCAGCTCTTAAAAAACAAAGGCGCAAGTTGGGTTTGGTGGCTCATGCCTGTAATCCCAGCACTTTGGGAGGCAGAGGCAAGAGGATTGCCTGAGCTCACAGGTTCAAGACTGGCCTGGGCAACTTGGTGAGCTCTAGTGTCTAGAATAAATTAAAAAAAAAATTAGCTAGGTTGCAGGCATGGTTGCATGCGCCTGTAGTCCCAGCTACTTGGAAGGCTGAGGTGGAAGGATTGCCTGAACCCAACAAGTCTTCTTCTTCTTCTTTTAAAATATGTAGCGATAAGGTCTTACTATGCTGTCCTGGCTGGTCCCAAACTTCTGGGCTCAAGTGATCCTCCCGCCTCAGCCTCCCAAAGTACTAGGATTATAGGTGTGCGCCAACATACCCAGCTTGCGCCTTTGTTTTTATAGAGGTTCCGTCCAGCCTCTTCCTCTATTTCTGTCATCCACAATATTAAATGTTTCTCTCATGTGATCAACTTTAATTTTTAAAATACTTAATAACTTAAGATTTATTGAAATCCAATCCAGTTTCCTCCTTCCTTCCTTGATTTCAAATTGACAGATAAAATTGCATGCACTTATCGTACACAACGTGTTTTGAAGTGTAAATACATTGTGGGGCTGGGCTTGATGGCTCAGCCTGTAATCCCAGTACTTTGGGAGCCAAGGCGAGTGGATTGCCTGAGTTCATAGGTTTGAGACCAGCCTGGGGAACTTGGCAAGACCTTGTCTCTACAGAAAATAAAAAAAAATTAGCTAGGCGTGGTAGTGCGTGTCTGTAGTTCTGGCTATTTGGAAGGCTGAGGCGGAAGGATTGCAGGAGCCCAGCAGATTGACGCTGGGGTGGCTGGGAGCACGCCACTGCACTCCAGTCTAGGCGATGGAGTGAGACTCCAACTCAAAACAAACAAACAAACACAACATTGTGGAATGATAAAACCTAGCTCATTAACATACGCATTACTTCACAAAGTTATCAATTTTGTGGTGGGAACATTTTACACCCATCCATTCTCTTAGCAATTTTCAAGAATACAGTACATTGTTATTAACTGTAGTTACCATGCCGTACAATAGATCTCTTGAACTCATTCCTCCTATCTAACTGAAATCTACTTCGCTGTGCAAAATATACACGGTTGAATATAAACTGTTCATTAAAAATATATGAAGATAAGGCCAGGCGCAGTGGCTCACACCTGTAATCCCGGCACTTAGGAAGGCCAAGGCAAGAGGACTGCCTGAGCCTGGGGGTTCCAGACCAACCTGAGCAACTTGGTGAGACCTCGATTCTACAACAACTCAAAAAAATTAGCTGCACATGCTGGCAACGCACCTGTAGTCCCAGCTACTTGGAAGGATGAGGTGGAAGGATTGCCTGAGTCCAGCAGGGCGATCATAACCCTGAGGTGGTCATAATCCTGCCACCGCCCTTCAGCCTTGGTGTCAGAGTGAGACACTGTCTCAAAAAAAAAATCTATTTAATTTACTTAACAAGACTTGAGTCAGCTGGATTCATTTCTTCAAAAGTAGCCAAATAATAATAATAATAATCCATTCACTTTGGAAAAGAATTCAAATTATGTCCTAAGCCTTTGGAATTAATAAAATTTTGCATTTTTCCATTTACAACTGTTTTCCAATCGTCAGTGTGCATTTTAAACTCCATTATGGTACGGAACTCAATCTGTAGGAAAGTAAGCTTAAATTTGGAGTCAGTGCTGTCCAAGAGACCTATGTCATAGTCATGCACTTATAAACACATGCAAGCAGATGAAAGCTTTGGCATGAGTGGAGTTTAAGTTAACAGCAAAGATCGTTATTACAAAGAAGAAGAGAAAAAGGTTAGCGTGCCATTTAGAATAAGCACTACCACAAAAGCTTTGTAGGAAGCATCACACCACTTGAAAGGGGACTGGAAGAATAAGAAAGAGTAAGACCGGTTGGGGTAGAGATTTTGTTTTTTGAGTTAGAGTCTCACTCTGTTGTCCAGGCTGGTGCGCAGTGGCATGTTCATGGCCACCACAGCCTCGACCTGCTGGGCTTAAGCAATCCTTCCACCTCAGTCTTCCAAGTAGCTAGAACCACAGGCATGTACCACCACACTTGGCTTTTTTTTTTAAATGTATTGTAGAGACAAGGTCTCGCCAAGTGGACCAGGTTGGTCTCGAATTCATGGGTTCAGGCAATCCTCTTGCCTGCGCTTCCCAAATTGCTGGGATGACAGATGTGAGCCATCATACCCGGCTGAGATTTGCTTTTATAATGTGAAACCCCAATCTAAGGCACATTAAATAATAAGCTAGGTTGGTGCCCCAAATGTGCCAATTTTAACTTTATCTTCTCGTGCATGAAGGCAGAGCCACTTCTTTCTGTTCCTTGGAAAGGCAGGCAGGCATAGTTGGCACATTTAAAAAAAACCACTGACTGCAGAGGGGTGACCCCAGCCCAGCCCAGGCAGAAGCAGAGACAGAATTGGTAAAGAGGGCAGGAAACTTATGAAATCAATTTCACACGTTTTGCTCATGGCCAGGGGCAATCAGGTCATAAATGCTATGAGAACATTAGGAAGCTATAAGGTAAACATGTTTATGAGGGAAGAAATGTGTGCAGAATTCTCTGGATCCCCAATATACAACTGATAAAAGGAAGAAAACCTTCCATCTTCTGGTTAAGAGCAAGGACAGTGTGCTCCCTAGTTTCCGGGTTGGACAGACTCACCAAGTCTTCAGCTGTCACAGGCTGCCCATTTTTGTCACTGGCCACCACCATCCTTCCCAGTCGTGCCTTCATGTCTGCAAGGCTGTCTGTCAGGGCCAGCACCGCCATGATCTCACTGGCCACCGCGATGTCGAACTGTGCCTAAACCAGCCAGAGCACAGGTTGTGGTCAGCGATGGTGCCATCAGAACAGTCATTCGCACAGAAGCCAGGTTTTAGCTTGGGAATCGTTGCAGGCCCCCGGGGGGGGGGGGGTGGTGGTAGTGTCTATCCTCAGCAGGCCATGCTCACATTTCCAACGGCTTACTGAATACCTGGGGCATGCGGAGTCCATGCTAGACACCCTTTAGAGCAGCCTCCCGAGGGGGACCACAGTCTTCATCAATGTTGAACAGGAGCTGGCTAGGTTAGGTACCCCAGTCTTACCCACTCACAACTCCATGAGGTTTGCTGCTGTAACATGTCTCAGATTTGTAATTGATTGCTGATGTCAGCACCTGTCTAGTATGTTTCCACCACTGGACCCTAAGTGCCGTGAAGGCAGAGACCGCATTGGATGAGTTCACTTCTGAATACCTAGCACGGAGTAGAAAAGCCAGTAGGCACTCAATACACATGGCATGAATTAATGAATAGCCTACTGGCCACTTCCGCTGTTAGTAATTGGTCCGTCAAGGAGCCTGCATTTGTCTATCCAGCAAAAAGATGAGGAACTGATGGTGAAAGACACTAGCCCCCTGTGTCTGAGGCTAATTTCCCAGTGTTAGAGCTCAACATGGCAGTGAGGGTTCCCAGGCAAATGGCGGCACAAAATCAGTTTTCAGCTGCCCGTAAGGGTATGACCACATCAGATGCTGATACTTTCAGCAATGGAAGCTAGAGAGCAGCAACTTTTTGCAAAAAGTTCCCAGGACTTCCTAGTTCCCACTCTTGGCTCTGACTCCAAGTTGTACAAAATCCAACAGGAACTAAAAGGGACACAAAGAATGTATATTTCCTCCTCATCATAACTCAGCCACCAGGAATGTTTCCCGGGACAGAACCACCTCATTACACTCAAGCTTAATTCTCTTCTTCCCAAGGGAAGTAAGTGTGAGCCAGACAAGTTCAGGCTTATGGAAGGAGGGAATGGCTGCGCTGTGCCCTGGTGGGAATCACCTTATGAGACATTTTATTATCCATTTCCGTCGCCGCCAAGTAAGGAAATAAGGAGCTTTCTGGCTACTTCCTGGTCCTTATTGCATTAGTCATTGATTTAGTGAAAAAATATTACCTGCGTGTCAAATACAATTCAATTTCGATGTATATTCAAATATTACATCCTCAGTATAACTCATAACAAACAAAAGTGATTTTTCGTTGTATGAAATTAAGGATTCTCTAGAACATGGTTCCATTATAAACAGTGCACATATGAAAATGACTAAAGAATATTGAGATTTTCTGTATAAAACATGAAAATAGAAAACTATGTAAATAATAAGTATAGTTTGTAATACATATTCAAGCTCCTCATTTGTATTTGCTGCAATTACAAAATTTTGCATCTTGAGCATCAAAAACAAAAAAAATACTGGGTCAATAAAAATTGTTATTAATCTGTGAATGATGTGCATGCATATGAGAGGGCTGCTCACTTTTATTTTGCAAGTAAAACATTTCAAAATCATATCAATGTGCAAGCGACATTATTTTTGTTTATTGGATCAACACAAATTTAAAGAAAGGACAATAAGGCAAGGATGTGAATTGATATAACTTTTTAAGGCAGCAATGTCGGGGGTGACATTGGTAGTAATGGGAATCTGCCGGGGAAAGAGGGGCACACTTCATTAACAAGGGTACCTGCATAATGAATATTTGTATACCTAGCCCTGAATTGTATCCCACATCTTTAAAATAAAAAAATTTTAAAAAAAGAAAGAAATGTGAAAACATACACCAACATGAGAAATTTAAATTCTCCTTGACTTTTTGATTGTTAACCTGGAAATCTGTACTAAGGATCTCATCAGGCAAGAATACACACAAATAAGTGTGTTTGCTATAATTTATTTGGGCTAGCACAACACTGCAAATACTCTACATGTTCTTTAGCAGCAGACTAGTTGAAGTGGTTATGGCATACCTACAAGATAAAGTATGACATAGTCATTTTTTTCTTTCTTTCTTTTTTTTGAGATCTCACTCTGTTGCCCAGGTTGAAGTGCAAACATAGCTCACTACAGCCTCTAACTCCTGGTTTAAGTGATCCTCCTGCCTCAGCCTCTTGAGTAGCTGGGACTACAGATGCATGCCACCACACCTAGTTAATTTTTATTTTTTGTAGAGGTGGGGTCTCGCTATATTGCCTAAGCTAGTGCTGAATTTCTGGCCTGGAGTGATGCTCTTTGCTCACCCTCCCAAAGTGCTGGGGTTACGGGTGTGAGCCACTGTGCCCAGTTATGTCATCATTTTGATGAGATCTCACTATGTTGCCCATGTCAGTCTCAAACACTTGAGCTCAAACAAACATCTCACATCCACCTTCCTACGTGCTAGGCCTGGCTGTTCTTTGATTTAGGAAATTTGAGAAATGTGTCTGAAATTCTCATTTTTTTAGTTATGCAGATACAGAATTAACTGGATGGGTTTCCAATGAAATATGTAAGAATTTATATTCAAGGGTCACCCTGAGTGGCTCCTCCAAGAAACGGAATTGAAAACATTCATGAAAAGACAGCAGATAACCTTCATGAAAGGACACAAGAGCCTGCTTGCCTCCTGATCCTCATCTAGCCCTGCTGAGTGCTTGAAATGTGGAGGGAGAGAACAACAAGACAGTGAGCAGGTAGAAACCAACATGAGCAGTAACAGAGCCATGCTTGGGAAGAAAGCACCACCTACCTGCCGGGAGCAGCCCTTTTCTGTGCTTGCCTGCCCAACCGTTATTTTTCGTAGAAATCTGTCATTTGTATCCAACACTGAAAGAGAACAGATTAGTTATTCAATCAGCAAACATGCCCCAGCCTCCTGATGTGTGTCTGGCATTGTTCTGATGCCAGGGAAAGCAACAAAGAGTAAAAAAGACAAGATTCGGCTTCCGCTGAGCTGATGGTCACAGTGTGGACACAAAGAAGAAATCAAATAAACAAGAAAATACCCACTAGTGATCAGTGCCTCGAGAAGATGAAAAAGGTGACGCGACATAGTGCCATATCAGGTGACGGGGAAAGGGAGGGTGCCTTTTTCATTAGGACACAGGAAGAGTTTTTTTGAAGTGGTGATATTTTATACTGAATCCTAACTCTCAAGAAGCCAATCCAGTTTCTCAAAAGGTTAAAGTCAAACAGAAGGTTAAATATAGAACACACAGTCATTTCACTCCTAGGCATTGTCCAGAAGAACTGAAAGCAGGGATTCAAACAGTTTCTTGTACACACGTAAGTTTATAGCAGCACAATCCACAATAGTGAGATCTTTTTTTTTTTTTTTGAGTTGGAGTCTCACTCTGTCGCCCAGACTGGAGTGCAGTGGCCACTCCTGGCCACCGCAGCCTCGACCTGCTGGGCTCCGGTGATCCTTCCGCCTCAGCCTTCTGAGTAGCTGGAACTACATGCATGCGCTACCATGCCCGGCTAATTTTTGATTTATTGTAGAGACGAGGTCTCGCCAAGTTGCCCAGGCGGGTCTCAAATCCTCAGGCTCAGGCAATCCACTCGCCCCGGCCTCCCAAAGTGATAGGATTACAGACTGAGCCACCGAGCCCGGCCAATAGTGAGATCTATACAATGAAGCAAAGTGTCCATCAACAGGTGAATGGATCAACCAAATGAAGTCTATACAGACAGTGGACTATTAGACAGTCAAGAAAGGATGGGAATTTTGATGTATGCAACATAAATAGACATCAGAAACATCATGCATAGTGAATTAAGCCAGAGAAGGCAAATACTGCATGATCCCACTTATAGGAGGTAACTACAACAGCCAAACCCGTAAAGACAGAAAGTAGAACAGTGGTAACAGTGGTTACACCAGGGGCAGAGAGGGAGTAATTAATGAATACAGAGTTTTGGTCAGGAATGATGAAAGTCATTTGGATACAGACAGTGGTAATGGTGTGATCATTGGTAATGGTAAATGTATTTAATGCCATGAGTTGTATGCTAACAAATGGATTAAAAGACAAATATATTATGCATATTTCATCACAACTAAAAAAAAAAAAACCCCAATTAAATAAAGTAGTATGGGGCGGGTGGGAGTCAATGGTGATTTGAGCAGATAATTTTTTTTTTTTTTTTAGTTAAGGTCTCACTCTGTCACTCAGGTTGGAGTGCAGTGGCACCATCATGGCTCACTGTAGCCTTGACTACCTGGACTTAGGTGATCTTTCCTCCTCAGTGTCCAGAGTAGCTGGACCAGCAGGCATGCACCACATGCTGGCTAATTAAAAAAAAAATTTTTTTGTAGTAACAATGTCTCACTATGTTGCCTAGGCTGATTTCTAACACCTGGGCTCAAGCAATCCTCTTGCCTTGGCCTCTTAAAGTGCTGAGATTGCAGGCTTGAACCACCATGCCTGGCCCAATTCTCTTTATTTTCATCACTGGCTTGCTTGAATTATACTGATTTAGATTATGTTTTGTGAAAACTAGATTTGGTTTTATGAAAACCAATGCCAGAAAACAATGCCAGAAGGACAGACTTCACTAGTAATTTACATGGTTTCAAACAACAAGCTGTTCACATTGCTAACTTAAATCCAATTTACCCAATGTACTCAATATGGCACTGATGACTGCAATGATAAAAACTACGTATCTGGGGACCACAGGCATCTGTAGGGTGAAGGAAGTTAACCATTTCTTTTACACACAGGGGACTAGCAGTGCCAGCTCACTCTGCTGGCCTGTGGTGGTTCCTAGGATTGGCGGCTGCTGGTCTTTATAATTGTGTGTTGTCTCACACACATACAGGAGCACACTCAGACACACACAGACACTCAAACGGTATTTGTACCAACACGCAGAAACCTTCTTTATAAATTTTTAAAGAAATAAGCAGAGTACATACAAGATGAAAGTCCTACTTCTCGATATTATCACCAGATACCACTTTTATGCCCAAGATGCACCTATGGGGCATAGTCATAGAAAGAAAAATTATCTCTTTTTCTAATGTGAAGTATACACAATCTTGGCATCAAATCAAGGTGATTGTTTTATTAAATTTCTGGAAAATCAACAGTGGAAATTCAGCTGTTCTATATTTAGCAAACTAGCAAGATCAAATCTAATCAGTGGTCTCCAAAGCCCACCTGCGCCTTTAACATAGCCCTGTAGAGCAAGGTGTCTAGAAATCCACTAAGACTTTGATATGCAGGGAAGGAGAGGTATGACATCTTCATTGATACTTAAGAAATGTGAAGGTTAATTTATAACAAACTTTTTTTTTTTTTGAGTTGGAGTCTCACTCTGTCGCCCAGACTGGAGTGCAGTGGCCGCTCCCGGCCACCGCAGCCTCGCCTGCTGGGCTCCAGCGATCCTTCCGCCTCAGCCTTCCAAGTAGCCGGAATTACAGGCATGCGCCACCACGCCCGGCTGATTTTTTGATTTACTGTAGAGATGAGTTCTCACTGCCCAGGCGCGTCTCAAACCCGCGGGCTCAGGCAATCCACTCACCTCAGCCTCCCAAAGGCGCGGGATTACAGGCTGAGCCACCGAGCCCGGCTTTATAACAAACTTTAATAAAGTAACTATCTTTCTTTTCTTTTCTTTTTTTTTTAAGAGACAGTGTCTCACTCTGTTGCCCAGACTGGAATGCAGTGGTACAATCATGGCTCACTGCAGCCTTGAGGTCCTGGGCGTAAGGGATCCTCCTGCCTCAGTCTCCTGAATAGCTGGGACTACAGGTGTGTGCCACCACACCAGGTTAAATTTTGTGCTTTGTTTTCTTTTTTGTAGAGACTGGGTCTTACTATGTTACCCAGTTGATCTCAAACTCCTGGCCTCCAAGCAATCCTCCTGCCTCAACCTCCCAAAGTGCTGGGATTACAGGTGTGAGCCACTGCATTCGCCCTGGAAAGTAATTTAAGTTAGGGATATGTAACATAATTTCTGACCTCTAAATGATAGAACTACGGGTGAAATAAGAAACGTATTCATTCTTGGAATCTGCACTGAGGGCCTATCTTGTGCCCCTTCTTGTGCTAACTATACAAGATACAAAGATGAAAAAGGCGTCGGTCACTGGTGTGAGGCATGATAAGAAGACTACCAGTCGGTGTGTATGTGTGAGCTCGGCATGGGAGGCAGAGAGGTTTGTTTATTCTTCGCTCCAGACAGTCCTCTTAGTACTACAGTGCTGACCACCTCCTGGAGAATATCCGGATTGGGTCCAGTGGCTTATTAAATAGCTGATACCGGGTAAGAGCCTGGGCAGTTTATGAAGGAGGACCCAAAAAAACCCAGAATTGATTTATACAAAATTGTGTATTGCCGGGCACAGTGGCTTTGGGAGGCGGAGGCAAGGATTGCCTGAGCCCAGGGATTCGAGACCAGCCTGGGCAACTCGGCGAGACCTTATCTCTACAATAAATCAAAAAATTAGCTGGGTGTGGTGTCACACCTATATTCCAGCTACTTGGAAAGCTGAGACAGAAGGATCGCCTGAGCCCAGCAGATCAAGGCTGTGGTGGCCCTGAGCGTGTCACTGCACTCCAGTCTGGGTGACAGTGAGACTCCAGTTCAAAAAGAAAAAAATTGTGTATTGATTCTTACATGTTTAAACCTCAGTCAGTTTCAAAGAACTTTCCATTTAATGCAATACACCTGTCAAGATACTTTTTCCACTGCTCAAAACAGTTTTTGAACTTGTCAATTTTGATGCCTTTTAATGCTTCTGCCATTTTTTGTCTCTTCCACATAGGCAAAATGCTTCCCTTGGAGGACTTTTTTTTTTCATGGAGAAACAAAAAAAAAAGTTGCCTGGAGGGAGATCAGGTGAATAGGGAGGGTGACACACAGGCATCATGCCGTTTTTGGTCCAAAACTGCTAAACACTCAGCAGGGTGTGGGCAGGTGTGCTCGTAAATCATTCATCATGAAATGGGCAAATGGGTTGAAAGAATCTTGGGAAAAAATGCACTGAAGTCAAATGCAGCCTCTCACGACAATGCTAGCTGGTACATTGATGCCGATGGGTTCCTAGAACCCTTACCTAGTGGGGAAAGCCTGTACTGTAAGGGGCTCCACCCTTCCCAAAATAAGTCCAGTTTTTCTTGGATTTTCCCTTGTAAGGTGTTACCTCAGTGGCAGGTCCATTATTTTGGCTTCAGTGGAAGACACAGCACTGATTCCCCACGGCATTGTGGGATGCTGTTGGGAACCAGCAACTCGATGTCGATTCCCTGAGGCTGAGTGAGGCTGTGGACTTTTGGTCCATGGCCAGGAAATGGTCAGGCCAAGGAGATGGGGAGAGGGCAAGGCTGTGAGCCCCAGGATGTCGGGGGCTCAGACGGGGGACTCCAACCTGCCTATCAGAGCAAGGTCCTGCTTTGCAACTTAAAATGGCTCAATGTCTACTTTTTCTTCTGCTGAAGTTAAGCATTTCCTGAATAGTCAATGAGTTTTTAGTTTTACCCTGTTATCAGGCACATGAGGCCTTGAAGCTTTTGGTATGAGGCACAGGATGAAACAATCATCAGATTTTGTTCACGAGCTGAATGGAAGAAGGGGCAGAGAAGAGCATTTCATACCTCCCAATCCCTGGTGTCCCTGAGTGTCCCCACCTAGTTATCAAATTGTTTATTTTTTTGAGTTGGAGTCTCACTCTGTTGCCCAGGCTGAAGTGAAGTGGCACACTCCCGGTCACCGCAGCCTTGACTTGCTGGGCTCTGGCAATCCTCTCGCTTCAGTCTTCCAAGTAGCCGGAACTACAGGCATGCGCTACCACACCCAGCTAATTTTTGATTTGTTGTAGAGACAAGGTTTTGCCAAGTTGCCCAGGTGGGTCTCGAACCCACGGGCTCAGGCAATCCACTCACCTCGGCCTCCCAAAGTGCTGGGATTACAGACTGAGCTACCCGAGCCCAGCCTAGTTATCAGACTTTACCACAAGGGTTATATTGGTTTAGGTCTAAGCCAAAAACCCCTATTAGTAAATGGCCTCAATTCATTTGATGAAGCACCTTCTTTCTTATATTAATTCAAGAGCCAAGCTACTTACCAAATGTCTTTCCAAATTCTTCTGACCCAGGTGCTTGTCCACAGCAATAAAGGTGTCTCCACTTTAGTGCCCTGAGTCATCATATTATTCTAGTATTTTTATGGAACAATCTTTGAAAGTTGTAACTACTGTTAAAATTGATCTGTATAGTTGGGCGTGGTGGCTCACGCCTATAATCCCAGCACTTTGGGAGGCTGAGGTGAAAGAAGTGCCTGAGCCCACAGGTTCAAGGCCAGCCTGGGTAACTTGGTGAGACCTCATCTCTATTATAAATCTTAAAAAAAAAAAAAAAGCTGGGCATGGTAGTGCATGCCGGTAGTTCCAGCTACTTGGAAGGCTGAGGTAGAAGGATCGCCTGAGTTCAGCAGGTCGAGGCTGTGGTGGCCGTGAGCGTGCCACTGCCCTCCAGCCTGGGTGACAGAGTGAGACTCCAACTCAAAAAAAAAAAAAAATTGATCTGTAACTGCAGAGCGCTTCAGTCCTTTCTGGCTCTGCAGAGAATCCAAAGATACACTGGGCCCAGGTATAAAAGATGAGGCTGCCTTTCTCACCCAAAACTTGAGGCCTGAATAGTCCAAGTCTCTGGCATGCTTCAAGTGCTGCCCAGGCTGGAAGCCCAAGCAGATGTGGAAGAATGCCAGCTTCTGGAGAATTTCTCTCTTAGCACAACCACATGCTTAGTTTAAAATACACTGCTTTCTACCTGCATGATTTTTCACTTACCAGTAAATCTCCAAAAAAAGTTTTAAGGAGTTAACACTAACTCAAAAAAGGTGACTATACATTTTGGAAATAGTGACGTTGTAATAATTAATCTCCTAGTTGTGAAACAATTTTTGTTTTTGAGTCGGAGTCTCACTCTGTCGCCCAGGCTCTGGAGCACAGTGGCACGCTCACAGCCACCGCAGCCTTGACCTGCTGGGCTCAGAGGATTCCTCTGCCTCAGCCTCCCAAGTAGCTGGAACTACACCTGGTTTATTTATTTATTCATGTATTTATTTATTTATTTAACTTACTTTTTTTTGAGTCAGAGTTTCACTCTGTTGTGGAGTGCAGTGGTAATTTTTTGATTTATTATACATTCGAGATCTCACTAAATTGCCCAGGCTGGTTGAACCCCTGGATTTAGACAATCTTCTCATCTCTGTCTCCCAAAGTACTGGGATTACAGGCATGAGCCATTGTGTCCAACCACAAAATAATTTTTAAGGAAAAATATGGAAGGTTCTTAATAAAATGCTGAAAATATTCACTTCAGTTGTTAATAATGCTGTTGGTCTGTGCAAGAACAGAAGCATGTTTAAGCAAGCCGTGGTTCATCCCTGAAAAAATATTCTAGAAACATTTCAAATGGTCATTACAACAAAGAGCTAACAAATTAGGACTGTTTATGAGATAAATGAAACCAGAAGGATATAAAATCTATAAACTGAATGTGGCGGCTCACGCCTATAATCCCAAGCACTTTGAGAGGTTGAGGCCAGAGGACTGCCCGAATCCAGAGGTTTGAGACCAGCCTGGGCAACTTAGCGAGACCTTGTCTCTACAATAAAAAATTAGCCAGGCGTGGTGGTGCACACCTGTAGTTCCAGCTACTTGGAAGGCAGAGGCGGAAGGATATCCTGAGCCAGCAGGTCAAGGCTGTGGTGGCCGTGAGTGTGCTACTGCACTCCAGCCTGGGTGGCAGAGTGAGACTCTGACTAAAAAACAACAATAACAAAAGGTTTCCAAGGAGATTTGAATTTAGTTTGAGAGACAAAGACACACAGAGAAACTACATAAAACAACTATTATCACAATGACTTGGGCAGAGCTTTCGAGTCTGGGAAGGACTCTCATCAGTGCTGCCTCCCAGTGGGGAGGCTAGAATGACTACCATATCTTTTTTTTTAAGAGTTGGAGTCTCACTCTGTCGCCCAGACTGGAGTGCAGTGGCCGCTCCCATCCACCGCAGCCTCAACCTGCTGGGCTCTGGCGATCCTTCCACCTCAGCATTCCGAGTAGCCGGAATTACAGGCGTGTGCTACCACCCCCGGCTAATTGTTTGATTTATTGTAGAGATGAGGTCTCGCCTACCCAGGTGGGTCTCGAACCCGCGGGCTCAGGCAATCCACTCACCTCAGCCTCCCAAAGGCGTGGGATTACAGGCTGAGCCACCGAGCCCGGCGACTACCATATCTTAAAGATGAGGAAGTGGAGTCAGTGGTCTGGCTAAAGTTGGAGAGCCAAGATTGGGTCTCTGTCTCTCCACCCTGTGGTTTGTAGAAAGACACGACATTCTTCATGGACTGCCTGAATGGATTCCCAGGAAGCTTCCCAGAGGTGACAGGCCTGGGCTGCATCTGGGAGGGCAAGCCTGGCCTCAGCAGGGTTGTGGACGGCCCACCCAGACAAGAAAGGTAGGCACTCCTGACTAGAAAGCAGGCAGGGAGCAAAGGGACACAGAGCCACGCTGTAGTGGTCATGAGGGCCAGGCGACTTCATCACACAGAAGGAAAAGAACCACAGGAGGCTCCTGATCACAGAAGAGACGGCCCTCTCCATGAACGTGAACCTCCAGAACCAGGGTGGGGGGATAGAAAGGGAAGCAAGAAACCATACCCGCAGGGAACTGTTATAAACTGGGCATTTTCCACTCTGAAATTCTACTTTCTGCCAGGCGCGGTGGCTCACGCCTGAAATCCAGTACTTTGGGAGGTGGAGGTCAAGGCGAGAGGATTGCCTGAGCTCAGGAGTTCAAGATCAGCCTGAGCAACTTGGCGAGGCCTTGTCTACAATAAATCAAAAAAATTAGCCAGGCGTAGTGGCGCGTGCCTGTGGTTCCAGCTACTTGGAAGGCTGAGGTGGAAGGATCGCCTGAGCCCAGCAGGTTGAGGCTGTGGTGGCCATGAGTGTGCCACTGCACTCCAGCCTGGGCAGCAGTGTGAGACTCTGACTCAAAAAAAGAAAAAACTCGGGTAGGGGTGGGAAAAATGAAGGGACATGTCTGAGCAGGGCAATACAGGGAGAATCAGGACTGAGCACACATCATGACTGCCATATTCCCGTGCAGTATCTATGATCCTTTCCGTCTCCCTTTACAAGAGACTGAGGGTGCAGAATATGTACTTGAATTGCTCAAGGTCATACAGCGAATCAGTGATGGGGGGGTGTTGGGTGCAGGTGCTTTTTCCCTCAGAAGGCAGTGTAGGAGAAGGAAGAGGGTGTCACAGCCGAGAGAGGCACAGGAACATCTACGGAGCTGGGAGGAAGTCTACTGGGGCTGCATCTGAAGGGTGGAGGGATGCCGCGGAAACAGCTGGAAGCACACACCAGCCTTGGAGAAAACACTAACACTGAACACACAAATGAGAGAGCTGTGGGAAGCTCGTGGGAAGACGTGAAAGGAAGAACTTAGGAGGATGGGTGAGAAGGCAGCAGAATCAAAAAGGGGAGACATGGGTTTTAAAACACTGCTTTTAGGCCAGATGCGGTGGCTCACACCTGTAATCTTGGGAGGCCAACGCCAGAGGATTACTTGAACCCAGGAGTTCAAGACCAGCCTAGGCAACATACCAAGGCCTCGTCTCTATAAAAAGTCAAAAAAATTAGCCAGGTGCAGAGGCACATGCCTGTAGTCCCAGCTTCTTGGGAGGTTGGGGCAGAAGGATCGCCTGAGCCCAGAAAGTTGAGTGTGGTGATCTGTGATTGGGTCACCGCACTCCAGCCTGGGTGACAGAGACCCTGAATCAAAAAATTTTTATTTTAAACGTAGAGACAAGAGACCAAAGGAGAGAGAAACTGAACAGCAGATTTCATAATTTTCCTTGGAAATGTGGAAGAGGTGGGAGTGGATGGAACAGAGCCCAGATAGAGCATTTGGCTTAAACAGGAGGCCAGGATAAGAAAAAGAGGCTGGTAAAATAACAGTAAGTGACAGAAAAGGCGAGATTGGGAAGCACAGGCTGGGAAGACCATGAAGAGACCCAGCTGGAATTGAAGAAATTAATCCAAGAGCTTTGGCTCAAGCACCTTCTCCTGGCACCCACCTCGCTGCCATGTGATAGTGGATGGGTCGATATTGAGCCGGGCAAATTTCCTCATCTCCTCTTCTGTCAGGGAGCTCGGGTCAGTCTTGTTTATTCCCAGTTTCTGATGATTAAGAAGAAAAAATACTTTATGGATGAGAAGAAACAGAAAGCAAAAGGTCACCAAGGTTATCCCTCATGCTTTATTTCCTTGGGGGTTAGTAAAGCCCTTTAAGAAAACTAAATGGAAATTTGAGTAATTGTAGGTTGGGTCAAGTCATATAACTACACCCGTAGGTCCAAATACCTTCTACAAGTGGAAGACATTGAGAATTTTTAATAGACTCTTCTTTTTTTTTTTTTTTGGAGAGACAATGTTTTGTTCCTCCATGCTGATCTTGAACTCCTAGACTCAAGCAATCTGCTCACCTCAGCCTCCCAAAGTGCTGGGATTACAGGTGTGAGCCACCACGCTCAGCCTGTAACAGACTCCTAAAAGGATAGACCTGGAAATGTATACAGTTGACTGCATACAATAAACACTTGTGGATCCTGCTGTCTGCCTCGGTTGGAGGCTCCATGGGCCACTGTGTACTGTACTCAGAAGTGACAGAAACTGCTGTTCAGATATCTGATGCTCCAGTTCATCAGTTCTTCTTTTCAAATACAAATACCAATAATTCAGGTTAAGTTTATGGCTATGTTTCAAAACAAATGATGTCTAAATCACCGAGGAGAAAAAAAATATATATATAATACTTCCAATGTATATTTATTTCTGTGGAGGAAACATTCTAAGAAAGTAGTTTTTAATGACAAAGTATAAAAATAATCTGCAAAACAAATGGTACATGTCACAGCTGCTGAGGACACAACTACTCATGACTCTCAGCACATGGAGCTTGCTCAGTAAGAAGTGAAGGTATCAACCAGAGGTTGTAAATTAGACCAGTAAGGATTATTTTTTAGTTTGAAAACGAGCCAACAGCAAGCAATATGATTAGAAGGCCAGAAGTAGCAAACAGCATCAGGAAAAAATAACATGGGTGAGAATCTAGATGGTTTTCACAATTACACATGTAATACTTGCCGCAATAAAAACTTAGGTGAATTCTCAAAGGCTATCTTATTATTTCCAAGAAATTTAAAAAATTTCGGCTGGGTGTAGTGGCTCACACTTATAATACCAGCACTTTGGGAGGCCGAGGTGGGAGGATCACCCGAGCTCAGGAGTTCAAGACCAGACTCCTCTCCTGAAAAAAAAAAAAAGGAAAAAAGCTGGGTGCAGTGGTTTGTACTGATAGTCCCAGTCACTCAGGAGGCTGACATGGGAGAATCACTTGAGCCCAGGAGGTCAAGGCTGCAGTGAGCCAGGATTGTGTCACTGCAATTCAGCCTGAATGACAGAGCAAGACCTTGTCTCAAAAAAAAAGGGGGGGGGACGTCATAAAAATATTTTCTTTTATAAAGAGAAGGACTTAAAAGTTCTAATTTGTCAATTGTTTTTTATTAAAGACAAAGTCTCGCTATGTTGCCCAGGCTGCAGTGTAGTGGCTATTCACAGGCACAATCACTATGCACTACAGTAACCCTCCCGCCTCAGCCTCTTGAGTAGCTGGGACTGCAGGAGTGTGCCACTTTGTCTGGTTAATTGGTTAATTTACTAGGGTACTCGTGGATTAGCAAAGTGGTCCACTCATTTCATAAATGAAGACACTGAGATCGAAAAGATTAATTAATTTGTCCACCTGACTCTTTGGTGGAGGGTTCAGATGTCAAGTTTTCTCTTGGCATATTGTTCTGTCTCTATAGAGTTTAGTACCCAAACTGGGCTTGGTGGCTCACGCCTATAATCCCAGCACTTTAGGAAGCCAAGGTGAGAAGGTTGCCTTAGCCCATGGGCTCGAGACCAGTCTGGGCAACTTGGCGAGACCAAGTTATCTCTACAATAAGTCAAAAAATTAGCCGGGGATGGTGGTGCGTGCCTGTAGTTCCAGCTACTTGGAAAGTTGAGGCAGAAGGGTCGCCTGAGCCCAGCAGTTCAAGGCTGCAGTGGCCGGGAGCGTGCCACTGCACTCCAGCCTGGGCAACAGAGTGAGACTCCAACACAAAAAAATAAAAATAAAAATAGAGTTTAATACCCAAAATAATTCTGAAAACCAAAATCAAATCAAGTTGAAAATTTGGAGCTTTGACATTCTTTCTGATGTGTTTCTAGAATACTTTCTTTTTAAAGGACTGTTAACTGGAAACTTACTTTTAGCCGAGCAAGCTGAATTTCTGAAAATGCTCTGACTCCATTCACTGAAGGAACCAGCCGGTTATATAGAGCCTAAAAACACAAAACAAAAAATAAAGCCCCACAGAAGTTTAAGGACCAGTCATGAACTTGGACGTTTCACAGGATATGGCAAAGCTAATTACATTTATAACCATACTATTTACATAACAGATCCTATTATAAAACTTGTGGGGTAACATAAACAATGTAGAATTAAATTCCATCATTTTAATAAAACTGACTAGATCTGAAATAATGCACATTTCAAAGAGTTGCATAAAAATATTCCTTGATCTACAGCCTTACAACTATCAAATTATTATTTATTCATTTATTTTATTTATCTATTTATTTTTTGAGTTGGAGTCTTACTCTGTCACCCAGACTGGAGTGCAGTGGCCGCTCCTGGCCACCGCAGTCTCGACCTGCTGGGCTCCGGCGATCCTTCCGACTCAGCCTTCCGAGTAGCCGGAATTACAGGCATGTGCTACCACGCCCGGCTGATTTTTTGATTTATTGTAGAGATGAGGTCTCGCTGCCCAGAGGGGTCTCGAACCCGCGGGCTCAGGCAATCTACTCACCTCAGCCTCCCAAAGGCGCGGGATTACAGTCTGAGCCACCGAGCCCGGCTAACTATCAAATTATTAATCATCTGGATTCTGCTCCAAAGACTCACTAAGGAATTGCTTTAATGGAAGAAAGTCAGTACCCTTGTTGTAAAACACGTCAGACAGTACCCTGTTTATCTATGTCTATGTCTGTGAGGAATTCATACCTGGTACTCTGTCCCCTTCAAGCATGTGATTTAACTCTTAGCCTGCAAGCACTTGAAACCCAACAAGGGTCTCTGACCACTTTAAGAGCACATCTAGGATACCTGCATGCATTATTAGCCTTCAAAAGAAACCTGTCCAATCTCCCTTAGTAAAACCCAGAGACTGGACCTATGGCCAGAAAGAAGAGAACTGGTCTACCTGGTACTTTTACAGTTAAAGACCCATCTCAAAGAAAATTTAGCTTAAAAAGTGCTATACTCTATAGCACTCAGCCATGGCCATAAACCCATTTGAGAATCTGGCCCAAGAACAGATCCTCTCCTCAAAAAACAGAAACCTATGTGAAATTCGCAAAAATTTGAATAATATTTCAGAGTTTACAGACATGAGCTTTCCATGATCTTTTAAAGGATCTTGGGATGCCAGGGTAAGATGCCCCAAATATCTCGCAAGGATCCTTCTTACCTTATCTGTTTGAGTGTTTTCATGCAGAATCCTCGTGTCAATGGCAGCAGCCAGCAAGTTATTGGCAGCAGTGATGGCATGGATGTCTCCAGTCAAGTGAAGGTTGAACTAGAATCAAAACAAGACATCATTCTAAATTGTTTCAAATAACCATGGCAGGATTCAAGAACTGTCTGAAGAAATAAAACCATATGCTAATTACATATCCATTTTATTATTATTTTTTTGAGTCGGTGTCTCTCACTCTGTCTCCCAAGCTGGAGTGTAAGGTTCACCACAGCCTCGGGCTCCTAAAGTGCTGGAATTACGAGAGTGAGTCACCAGACCCAGTCACATATCTTTATAATAAACCGAGTCCATAGGACAGCCTAAATCAAAAGATCAAGGTCAGGATTTCCACTTGACAATAAAGAATTCTGGAGCAGTCTCTCTCATGGCAAATTCATCCCTTCCCAGATTAACAACTACACATTCTGATGGACCTAATGACTGGCTTCCTTATTTTCACTCTACTTTTATGCATTATTTTATTCTCTAAAAAATAGTATCATATCAAATATACTTGGGAATGAGACAGCATAAGATAAATAGCAATAACAAAATTATATAAAAATTACAGAAAGTTTGAGAAATCAAGTACATAACTCTATTATTATGCTGCTTACTTTCTAGTTTCATGTGCACATATGATTTTTACGTGTATAATCAACATATTAAAATTTGGAACCTTCTTTGTGAAAACTCTTCTATAATAATCTTGTGTATAGTCAACAGTTTATAGGGGCTACATGTATGAGATGGACCAACATTTGCAGCTTCGTATGTTATTTTTTTTATTTAAGTTGCTTCCCAATTTTCACTTTTGCAAAGAAGGCTACAACTAGGAAGGATACATGCAAATAGCTTATCCTCTTCTAAAAAAAAAGAAACTGCTAATGAGCAGTATACAAGAAAGGACTCCAAAGAAACCAAAGTTTTGGGGTACTTACCCCTCAAGGTAAGTTTTCTAGGAATCCATCAACATCAGTGTATTAGTTAGTGTTGGTGTGAGAGGCAGTATTGTGGAAGAAACGTCCCGAGTTGTGGCAAACAGGTGACTGGTTCTTCCACCATAACAATACACCTGCTCACACCGTGCTGAGTGTTCAGCAGTTTTTGACCAAAAACGGCCTGACCCCTATGCCCTACCCACCCTATTCACTCAATCTCACCCCAATTTTGAGGATTTTGATGAAAAAAAATCCTCATTAGCCGGGTGTGGTAGCGCACGCCTGTAGTTCCAGCTGCTTGGAAGGCTGAGGCGGAAGGATCGCCAGAGCCCAGCAGGTCGAGGCTGCGGGTGACCGGGAGCGGCCACTGCACTCCAGTCTGGGCGACAGAGCGAGACCCCAACTCAAAAAAAAAAATCCTCACAGGGAAACCTTTTGCCAATGTGGAAGACGTGAAACAAAAAACAGCAGAAGCACTAAAAGGCATCAAAACTGACAAATTCAAAAACTGTTCTGAGCAGTGGAAAAAGCAATCTCGATATAGCATCACGCAGCAAGCTGAATTTCTTCACATACACATCAATACACACACGTGTGTATTGCATCACACGGAGAATATCATGAAGGCGACTGAGGTTTAAACATGTAAGAACAAATACACACATTCTTTATAAATAAATTCCGGCATTTTTTTGGTTCCCTCTTGTATGTTCAGAAGTGTGATTACTGGGTTCAAGGATATGGATACTATCTCCAAATTGCTTTTGGAAATCAATGAAGCATCACCCACAAAACACTAGTAGATCAATTACTTCAGAAATAAAATAACCTTTAGACTAAAAAAACAAAAAAATAAAGGCCTCCTGATGCTTACCACAGGCTGTGTTCTTACACTGTACAGAAAAAGAAGGCAGAACAATACAAATACTTCAGCATAGGCTCTGGCCCCGGTCTATGTTGTGAATGGAGGAACACGGAAAAGAAAAAAAGTAATAGTTGCGGGCTCGGTGGCTCAGCCTGTAATCCCACACCTTTGGGAGGCTGAGGTGAGTGGATTGCCTGAGCCCGCGGGTTCGAGACCCGCCTGGGCAGCAAGACCTCTTCTCTACAATAAATAAAAAAAATCAGCCGGACATGGTAGTACATGCCTGTAATTCCAGCTACTTGGAAGGCTGAGTCGGAAGGATCGCCGGAGCCCAGCAGGTCGAGGCTGCGGTGGCCGATGGCGGCCACTGCACTCCAGTGCACTCCAGTCTGGGTGACAGAGTGAGACTCCAACTCAAAAAAAAAAAAAAAGGAAAAGTAGCGGTCTGTGTTAAGTAGCACTTCTTTAATTTCTTGAAAGGTTGAACACTTATATTTTCTTGCTAAAATTTTATGACTATAAAAATATGTTCACTGGAAAAAATGTTAAAAATTACATTATATAGCTGGGCCCAGTGGCTCACGTCTATAATCCCAGCACTTTGGGAGGTGGCGGCAAAAGGACTACTTGAGTCCAAGGGTTTGAGGCTTGCCTGGGCAACTTGACAAGTTTTTATATATTTTTCATATTTATTTATTACAATAAATAAATAAATTAGCTGGGCATGGTGCCATCCACCGGTAGTTCCAGTTACTTGGAAGACTGAAGTGGAAGGATCACCTGAGCCCAGCAGGTCAAGGCTGTGGTAGCTGTGAGTGTGCCACTGCACTCCAGCCTTGGTGAGAGTGAGACTCCAACTAAAAAAAAATTATTACATTATATATCGTTTTTATAAAAGCTATTTGTAATTTTAAGGATTAGGACCATAATATCATAATAGTTTATACCTTAGTTTTTCCAATTTTAATATTACTAACATTTATACATCACTAAATGTTCTTCAGACTGGGTGCGGTGGGTCATGCCTGTAATCTAAGCACTTTGGGAGGCTGAGGTGGGAGAATCACTTGAGTCCAGGAGATCAAGCCCAACCCGGACAACATAGTGAGACCTCATCTCTACCAAAAAAAATAAAAAAATTAGCCAGGCATGGTGACACGCGTCTGTAGTTCCAGTTACTTGGGAGGCTGAGACAGGATTGTTTGAGCCCAGGAGGTCAAGGCTGTGTTGAGCCATGATCATGCCACTGCACTCCAGCCTGGCTGCCAGAGTGAGATGTACACTAAAAAAAAAAAAATCCTTCAACATATAGCTAACTTGATATCCTATTATCAAACATTTAAGTTCCCTCTCCAATTTTTAATGCTACAAACAATGTGAAGAATATAGTTTTCAAATGGTAACTTTGCACATACATCCAATGTTTCCTTAGGATAAAAAATAAGTTTACGTGGGCCAAAGAGTCAGAATGTTTTTTTTTGTTTTTTTGTTTTGCTTTTTTTTTTGAGTTGGAGTCTCACTGTCACCCAGACTGGAGTGCAGTGGCCGCTCCTGGCCACCGCAGCCTTGACCTGCTGGGCTCCAGCAATCCTTCCGCCTCAGCCTTCCAAGTAGCTGGAATTACAGGCATGCGCTACCATGTCCGACTGATTTTTTTTTTTTTTTTTTTAATTGTAGAGATGAGGTCTTGCTGCCCAGGTGGATCTCGAACCCGCGGGCTCAGGCAATTCACTCACCTCCGCCTTCCAAAGGCACGGGATTACAGGCTGAGCCACTGAGCCCGGCTTAAGAGTCAGGATGTTTAAGGCACTTGATACCTAGTTCTACTTCTCCTCCACAAGAATTTCATCAACATACACTTCCTAGCAGTGTACGAGAGTATATTTCAATCTCTGCCAAAGCTTGGTATTGTTACTATTATGAAAAATCCAATTTTGTCAATTTGACAAGTTAAATGGTAACTGATAGTGATTTTCATGTAGATTTATTTGATTATTATTGAGGATGAATGTTCATCACGCAATTCTTTTTCCTGATGTTTCTATGACCCTCTGGCAATCTTTCTTTTCTTTTTCTTTTTTTTTTTTGAGTTGAAGTCTCATTCTGTCGCCCAGGCTGGAGTGCAGTGGCATACTCATGGTCACTGCAACATCTACCTGCTGGGCTCAGGTGATCCATCTATTTCAGCCTTTCAAGTAGCTGAACTACAGGCAAGTGCCACCATGCCCAGCTAATTTTTTCTTTTTTTTTTTGAGTTGGAGTCTCACTCTGTTGCCCAGGCTGGTGGGCAGTGGCACACTCATGGCCACCGCAGCCTCGACTTGCTGGGTTCTGGCGATCCTTCTGCCTCAGCCTTCCAAGTAGCTGGAACTACAGGCGTGCGCTCTCATTCCCAGCTAATATTTTGATTTATTGGAGAGATGAGGTCTCGCCAAGTTGCCCAGGCTGGTCTTGAACCTGTGGGCTCAGGCAATCCTCTCACCTTGGCCTCCCAA